CTTGGCCATGCCACCCTGCCTTGGAGCCAGTTGACCATGGACTGATATTTCTACAAACTGTGAACTGAATAAACCTTTCCTCCTTTAACTTGGGGTGTGGGATACTTTGTCTCAGCAATAAGAAAAGTAACTATGACATGGGGCCAAAGGGAAGGGCATAGCCAGGACTGGACCTGGACTAGGGTTAGGACCAGAACTCCTGACAGCTCTGTCCCCAGGGCTGTGCTGAGACCCTACTCTAGGTATCCTGGGGTGGCTGGCACTCTTGGGTATCTGGGAGGTCAGAATGCTTGTGCCACAAGTTAGCCAGCCACAGGTGTTGAAGGTCAGAGGTGGGAGGCAATCATGATATCAAGGGGCATATGGTTGGGCACAGGCTTAGGCAAGAGTTCCAGGATAGGGTAGGGTTGCATTTGGGCACAAGAGAGGGTAGGAAGGCCAATGTTGGGCTCAGGGGTAGGTGCTTGAAATAGAGGCAGAGGAGAGGAAGGCAGAGAGGGAGCAGGAGGTGCCTGGCCCAGGGTGGGGTGCTCTGGCTACATGACAAAGTGCTGGTCCCTGAGTCCTGTGGGTGGGCGAGGATGACCCTGCAGCTGGAACTGGCCACTGGTAGTGTTGTCCTCCCTCTTTACAGGGCAGGTATTGGCTTCTCAGTGTCCCTAGTGAGGTAAAGAAGAGGCCTGGCTTCTTAGTAGTGCTGTGGGGACACAGAGGCAGGAAGCTCTCAGGAGGAAGCCACAGATCCTGGAACTGGATAGGGTAGGGTGGGAGGGTAAGCTCCCCTGGGTGCTGCCCTGCCTGGTTAAGGTGGAAGGAGTAGCTGTGGTAGGAGTAGCATTGGTTAAAGGTCAGGCCTCAAGGTAAGGATGAAATGAGTAGGCCTACATTCCACCCCAGAAATAAACAGTATACTAAAGTCATTATTACCTGGTCCAATAAAGCCTAGAGAGGCATAGGTCACATGGGTGGGTGACCTCCTGACTCATCTCTTCCAACAAAGGTCCTAGTTCTCCCCATGCACTCTTGCTGCATGACTTGCTTCTGCATTCGTTCAATATTACTATATTTGTAATCTTATTGGTTAATCATAGTTTTGTCCAACATTGTATCCACCTTGTGATTTTTGTACACACCTTGTAATTTTGCTCTATAAGTCTTCCTCTACAAAGTGGCCTCACTCATTGGCAACCCACTCAGGCTTCCACCTGTTCCTCAGGAGCTATATCTCTCCCCCTCCATAAAAATTTCCTACTCTTTTTTGGGGAGGGCGTACTGGGGATTGAACTCAGGACCTTGTGCTTGTCAGGCTGGCTTAGCCTACATCCCCAGCCCAAGATTTCCTACTCTCAAGCTCTGTTGTTCCTTAAACTGACGTTCAATTTTGGAGAACACAAACTCTGTATATCTGACATCTAACAGATTGAGAGCCATGTTATTTTCTGTATGTCATTTAGAGCCCTGTATCACTGCAAAGGAAAGTCCAGCTCAGTGACCAGGTGGTCCTGGAAGGGGCAGGCTTTAAACTGTGAGTATGACAATGGGGTGCATGGACCCTGACTGCATGGGGACTTTCGTCTAGGCTCCTCTCACTCTACATCTCCCCGAAGACTCAGACGTCTGTAACACGCACAGTATCCTCATCCACTGATAGGAAACCTAGGCACATGTGGGAAAGTCTGGTTCCAAAGATGCCACACTGGCACTAGAGTCTGGGAGGAAAAAAGAAACAAAAGCTCTTCGTAGAGCTCTTCATAGAGCCTCCATAGCAGGCTAAGCAAATAGGATTAATCAGTAACTTACTTAGAAGGACCATGGAAAGTGCTCAGAACAAGGAGGGGCCAAGGGGAGAGGAGGGGAGGGAGAGAAAGAGGACGAGGTTAAGGTGGAATTGAGGCAGGGAATCTAGGCCTCCTCCTGTGTTGTTCTTAAATCACCCAGGATTCCCGGTGCTCATGTGGAGCTATCCACACATGTGGCAGCCTAGGAAGGACACAAGCTTAGTGCTGGCATTCTGGGGGCTTGTTCTTGACCCGCTGCTCCTGAGCAATGATCTGAAGAAGCTGGAAACCTCTGTGAGCTTAGATTCTTCGGCAGTAGGATAAGACCTTGATGCACCCTAGTGCTGCTGTGGGATTAAATGAAACAAAGATAATGGCACCAGATCTGAGGCTGCTGATGTTTGCCCCCTGTACTCCACAGGAGCCCTGGCTGAGAGTCAGGAAAGGAGAGGAGGAAATGAGGGGCTAGAGAAGGGTTTGGGATGGCAGGAGACAGAGGGGAAGAAGTGACCAAGCTCTTGCACTCACTCCCTCTCAGCTCTGTCAGGCATGCGAGCTCTCACCTGGCTCTCCGTCAGCCTCTGTGGGAAGGAGGGGCACAGATGTGTGGCTCTGCCCTCAGCCCAGTAGCCCTGAGAGTGGTCAGACCTTGGCTCCTGGAGCTGCTCCTGTTGTCAGATGGAGTCTACACCTCCCACCAGAAGGCTCAGCCGCCTTTGAGACTGTGGGGGTGAGCCAGGTAAGAAGGGGGCTGAGGGCAGGGAGCACCATGCCCAGGGTCAAGCACACTCACCTCTTTGTGAACAGAGCCAAGGCCTCTGCAGGGACTCAGCTTTGTAGATCCCAGCACCCAACCACAGCTGATTCAGCCCAGGCCAGGTGCTGGGGCCTGCAGAACAGCTGGAGACCTTCTTGTTTAGGCCCCAGCTGTCAGAGGCCACAGCACAGCTGCTCTCTCATTCAGTGAGGCCTGACTTCTCCCTCTTGGGCTCTCAGAGCACTGAGAGCAGTCGCAGTGCTAACACGGTGATGCATCTACAGCTGAGCTTCCAGGCTGCACCTCCAGCCTGCACCACCCAAGGACTCAGCAGCTCTGGATCCTCCTTCTGGGACTCAGGTCAGCAACAGTGGAGCTGCCTCTTCCCAAGGCACAGAAAGAATCCTGGGTCTTTGCCAGGGCAGTTTTCTGCCAGGCTCCACCTCTAGCATTTCTGAAATGTAGCCTTGTATGAGATAAGGACAACTCTGGTGACCTCTGAAAATCAGAGTGCCAGGGATGCCGCTGCCAATGCAGGGTGGTGTGGACCTCAAGAAAGAAAAGGACAATTCACCTGTATATCTGTCAACTTGTTGTTACTATTACAAAATACCCAAGGAAACTAGCTTATCAAGACAACTGTTTTATTGTGGCCTTTGGTTCTTCTGGACATTCTTTTCCAGGACCAGGTGGCCCATGGCCTCATATTTCCAGCCTCTTTAAAGAGGGGTACACCGTGCTAGTATCACCAGGAGCCAGGAAGAAAAGTGGAAGAGGTGCGTGTCCCACCAGCCCCTTCCCCAATGACCTAAAGACCTCCCTTCAGACCCCATCCCCTAGGCAGTCCACCTTCTCCCAGAAGTGCCACCCCCTGGGGGGGACCAAGCCTCTGAGGGATACTCATCCAAACCATGTTCTACCCTAAAGGACTTGTGTTTCACAAAAATCCAGTGAAGTGAAGAAATAAGACTCACACTGGAAGAAGTTATTTGCAACAATCTAGGAAGAGTTAGTATCCAAAATATATAAAGTTAAGGAAGCAATAAACCTGCCAATCAGCAAAGGGCCACACTGTCAAACAGCTCCTGACAGGGAAGGAAAGAGGAATGACCAAGGCCAGGATTAGTCCTCTCTTGGGAACTAGGAAGAGGCTAAGGCCACAGTGAGACATCCAATTGCTAGGAGAAAATACAAAGCTATGACGACATCTGGGTGCACAGTAGGAGACTCTGATGTGTTGTGGGAGGACCCTAGATTGCATCTATCCTAAAGGAAAGCTATTTTAAATATCCTATTTTTACAGACAACTTCAAAAGAAAAAACCTACAAACCAAAGCTGGGTACCACAGAGAAATATCAAGTTACATATACTAAAGATCCACTTTGGTCTTGTTAGGAAAGGCTTGCCATCATAAAGTGCTTCTGTGCATATAAAACCAAGGAAAATAAAGCTGGTCAAGTATATTCCCCTTCCCTTCTCAGTCTGATGCTCCTCGGACCTTTGGAGCTCACAGTCTGCACTGAGTCCCCACACCATGTCCCCCACATCCCAAGTTCTGGCTTAAAGTGGGTCACAGAAGGCTGAGCCCAGCCTTCTCCTCTGAGAACAAAGTCTGTGTCCTCCCTTGGAACCTAGGCTGAATGGTAGCTCTGACCCAGCACAGTAAAAGTGACACATCATGACTACTGAGCTGATGTCATAAAGGACTTCAGCATTATCATTACAAATACCCTTTCATGAGGCTCCCAGGAACCATGAAAAACTGTCACTTCCCCTCCCCTGATGCCCATGCTCTGAGGAAGCCTGCATCACCTGGAGAGGTCAGGTGTGGGATCTACATCAACAGCCCCAGTAGAGTCCAGGTTTGGGGGATCCCAGCCTGGTTGCCTTATGTTGGGGTGAGGAAGACTCTGGAGAATTTCACACCCAGCCACCAAAATCACACTCCTCACCAGCCTTCCTATAACTCCCCGTTAGGGAGCTTTCCCACTCTGCCCTCCTGACATCTGACCACGGAGCCCAAGGCACAATAAAACAGTCCTTGTCCAGGTCACTGAGCTTGGTTAGAGATCAGGGATAAGAGACTGTCCCCCGCTCACAGCACGTGGCCTCCTCCAGCTCCACCACTGCCTGGCTGGCTGCAGGGTGCTCACAGTGGCTTCCCCACATCTCCCTTGCTGCCTCCCAGTCCCTGGAACTCCCTACCCATGGTGACATCCTGATCTATCTCAGCCAGCACCGCTGTCCTCTCTTGGTTGACAGAACATCTGGAACCTCAGGAGGCCCTCTGAGGACCACTTGTGAGGGCTGGGAAGAGGAGCAGGGAGGCCTCATCTTGCACCCCCCAGAGACCCAATGACCCCCACTTGATGCTGTCAACATGCAGGTCCCTGGGCAGAGCTCCAGGTCACAAAGTCACCATGTCAACCTTCCTGTCCATCATAAGCCCAGGGTATTCCGCCCTGGGGTGGGGGGAGGGCTTAGTGGACAGCTGGTGGTAGGACACCCAGAGCAGTGGTGTCCCCGGTCCCTGTGCTGTGAGAGGGAACTGGTGTGGGCACACTGGGCATTGGTGACAGAGCTCCAGGGGCCGTGGTCCCTGGGCACAGAGGAGGTGGCCAAGCAGGAGGCCTGAGGTGGCTGGTGCTCAGCCTCCCTGGGCTTTGGGAAGGGCCCCGCCAGTGAGGAGGTCACAGAGACAGAGAACAAGATGGGGAGGCACAGCCCCTGTGTGCCCTACTCTGCGCTCTTCCTCCTGCTCCTGCTGCTGCTACTTCTGCCCCTGCTCAGCGCAGGGAGCACCCCAGGCCCCGGTCTGTACCCCATCATGTCCCATGGTTCAGAAGCAAGCCAACACTGGCACCACAGTCAGAGGGAGACTGATTGTTGGGGCTCCTTCGACCTCTACTTCATTCTGGACAAGTGAGTGTCCCCTAGCTCATCCCTCCACCTGACCCCAGAAGCAGCAGCAGTTCTTAGTCACTCCTGGTAGGACGAGGCCTCTGGGGGCTCCAGCCTCTACGGGAGGACAGCCAGAGCCCTTCAGGGTTCTCTGGGAGAGACCACCTGTGGCCTGGGGGTGGGGGAGGCGGTGATTGGCCACATCCCTGCCCAGCGCCCTCTCCTCTAAGCCTTGCTCTTCCTCCCACCCTGCAGACTTGGCACAGTCCCAGCATTTTCGGGGTAGCCAGGGGCTCATTTGGCCCTGGGGAAGCTATACTGTCTTTGGGGCTCCTGACGGCCATTGGGAGGCAGGCGGGTCTTGGTCTTGGGGAGGTGGTGAGGTCCTATCTCAGCTGTCCTGCTGGCTGGGACTGGGAACCCAATGAGAAGCCCATGCAGCCCTAGCAGGGGGATGCCCTCTGTGCTCGCCAGCCCTTCGCCCTCAGCCCTCCCCGCTCTGGATGCGCAGCAGCCCAGGGGTCTCCCTGTGATGTCCTGTTGTGGAGTGAGCTCCTAGGTGGCCAAGGTGCCTGGAGGATGCTGACGGTGACAAGAACCGGGCTTCCTGGTCTGGGCTCTTTCTAGTCACAGGCATGGCTCCTCTCATCTCCTCTGTGGGCACCAAGGTTGGGAACACCGGCCCTAGCTCCAGCTCCTGAGCCAAAACAGCCAGCTGGGAGCCCCCTCCCCACTGGGAGAGGAGTCCCTCCTCACTTCTGGCCCAGGGACTCTGAGACACCCTGGACAGGTGGTGCCCTCGGATCCTTAGCACAGCAGCAGTGGTGGCTCCCTTTGGGCATCAGGTTTGGGGAGGATGGGTGCCCACTGGGCTGACAGCCTTGTTGGGTCAGTCCTGCTGGAGAGTGGCTGAGACTCCAAAGCCCCTCTTGGCTGCCACCCTGTTGCATGTCTCTGCCTGCTTCCCTGGGCCCTGCTGTGAGGCAGCTCTGGGAATAGATGAGGAGGGCTGTGGGCACAGGTAGGGCTGTAGAATAGCATTAATCGGACACTTGCTGTGTGCCGAGTGTTGTGAACTATCGGCCTCCTATAGTGGAAGGAAGCCAGTTCTGTGCCCTCATCTCAGGAGGGTGAAGTTGAGGCTGGCAGAAGCTTCATGATTTGGGAAAATTCAGTCAAAACTGCAGCAAAATGTCACAGGGCAGGAAAATCTCCCTTTCCCTTCTTCCTAAGGTTGAAAGACCCAAGGAAATGTGCTCCAGAGCTGAGGACTCCCTGTTTCTGACCCCCAGCCCCACTCCACATGCCTCCTGCCACTATAAGAGGACGGGCAGGGCATCTTCAAGACTGGAAAGCAGGCCAGGTCCTTCAGCCACACTTGTCTGGGGCTGGAACCTGAGCTTGGTCTCCAGACTCTCTTCGAGGGAGGAAGGGGAACAGTTCAGCCCTCATGCCCGGGGCAGGCTTCTGGATGGAGGCTTGTCTGCTGGGTGACTCCCCTCCCACCCTAAACCTGCTGCTTGCCATTCCCACCTGCTGGATTCTGCAACTAGGGTAAAAGAAGGCACCCTTTGCAATTATTTCCCATCTCAGCCAGGAGGGCCAAGCACAGACTCTCAGCCCTGGGGACTACAGTACCCCGTCCCTCGCTGAAGGGGAGCTCTTTGCTCAGTTTGCAGCAGTTATGGGACAGTACTGTGTCCTCCAGAGATGCCAAGGTCAGTGAATAATGAACACATGGGGTGTAGAGAAAGACCTGAGTTCAGATATAGGCTGGGTGTGGGGACTGTCATGGTTTTCTTAACATGTCACTTGGTTTCCTCTCCTGTAAAAGGGAATGAACTTATGTGGGAGTTACCTGGATAGAAGCACACAGCAGAAGGTCTGGGACGTGTCCCAGGGAAATCTGGCTCAGGGAAATCATTTTGATGCATTTAGAATGATCCAGGCCTTTGTTTCCTCCTGATGTCAACACTGATTTAGACACAGCCCAGAGGAGGCAGTAGATGGGGCAGGAGGAGGTGGCTCTTGGTGTCTAATAGTCACCACACATTTGTGTGACCTCCAGGGGGTCCCATTTATGGGCACCATCATCTCTGGAGGGGGGAAGGTGGCCTCCCAGCAGGCACCTCTCACTCACTCCCCGTGGGGCCCTGAGTGTCACATGTCCCCACACGCAGGGCACAGTTCTCCTCTGCCCCATGGTGCTTCACCTGCACAGCTGTGGGGCCCCAAAGACTTTTGCCAGGGCCATAGGGTAGATGTGACTGACTCCCACTGGATGGGAGGTCACGAGGCCCCAGCCTCCTCTTGCTCCTCACTCTCCATCTGGGGACAGAGTGGGAGAGAATGGAGCCAGTTGCTGGAGTGGGGACAGGAAGAGACTGCAGCCATCCCTGCTGCTCCTCAGTGCTGGCACCAGGGCAGCAATGGCCAGCCTGTGCCCTTTCCCTGTCAATGCCTGCTGGAAAAGATGCCTTGGGCCTGCAGGGGCTGGGTCTATAGTCTGGTGACAAAGTTGGGCAGGCTCTTCACCCAAAAGGCAGGTCTGACACTTGGAACCCAGGAGTCCTTTGGGGAACCACAAGCCAGGTGTGGTCACCTCTAGACCTGGTGGTGGCTCTCAAAGGCTTCTGATGGCCATGGTACCCAGGTCTGCACCCACCCACAGGGAGCTGGGAAGGTCACACTAAGGCCAGTAGGGACCCAGACAGTCCATGAATCAGAGGTGCTGAGGGACCTTTGCAGTCACATCCTCTTCCTCCACTTCCTGTCCCCACAGTCCTCACCTAATGTGACCACATTGGGTGACCACTAAGCATCTCTTTTCCTGGGGTGCTCCCTCAATCCCAGCAGATGGCCTGGTTGGCCAGCCTCTCCCAGTGGTGGCCCTGATGACAGTCACCTCCAGGATACTCTGCTGTGGTCAGAGGCGTTTGGGCGGGAGCCAGTGTTAAGGATCCTGCAGAGAGGTGGCCAAAGTAGAGGCTGCTCTGAGTGATGAAGGCATCTCAGGCCCTGATTTGTGTCTCCTTTGTCTTCAGGTCTGGCAGCGTGGATGACAACTGGATTAAAGTTCATTCATTTGTGGCAGATTTGGTGGCAAGATTTAAAAAGTACACTTCTCCATGCTGCAGGCTCCCTACACATCCATTAGACTTGGTGGGGTCCCTCGGGTGGGGACACAGAGCCCAGCATGACCGGGCAGGAAAGGAGTCAGAGTGCACTGGTCCCCTGGGTCTCAGCAGTGTGCCTGACCTGTGTGGGAGCCTGGCACCTGCGGGGACACTGCCTGCCCTCCAGACCCCTAGGCTGAGAAGGAAGTCAGGACAGGCAGACCAGCAACTCAGTAGCTGAAACTTGGACACAGCGTGCTCAGGGCCAAAGGAAAGGGAGAGAAAATGTGCCAGGAAGGTTAGATGAGAAAGCAAAGATTCCTAGAGGGAAGGGGTCCTGGGCAGCTTCCCAGAGGATGTGGGAAGTGAACTTGACCTTGAAAGATGGAGAAAAGTCAGGGTCACGGCAGCCCTCAGGGTTATCTCTCTGGTGTGTGGTCTGTTTAGGCTGAGGAGTAAGGATAACTCAGGGAAGGACTGAGTGTTAGATCTGCCCGCACAAGTTGTTTGGGGCCACTGCCCCCAGAATTTACTGTGCCAGGCCAAGGAGGGGCTTGAATTCTTCCTCGGAGCCATAGTGAGCCATGGAAGGTTCATGGGCAGGGGAGTGATGTGCTCTAAGAAAAAAAACTGGCAACTGTGTGTGAATAGAGTCAGGAACAAGACAGGAGCAGCAGGCAGCTCAGCCTGGAGCCTGCAGCCACTTTGCTGAGGGTTAGAGGCCAAGGGCAGTCATCAGCCACAGGAAAAGGAGGCATTGTAAATGGTGCCCAGAGAAAACGGGATATCCTAGCTGGAAGGACTGAGGAAGGTTTGGGAAGAGGAAAAGAGGCTGGAGATACAAAAGTGACAGCAGCAGAGCCACCAGGTGGGAAGGAGGCCCCATGAAGGAGTGTAGAGGGTCTGTCTTCTTCAGTGTGTGTGTGTGTGTCTGTCACTAGTCTGAGCAAAAGTGTATGAGACTGGATGTGTGTGTGAGTGTGTGGGTTTGCACAATGAGTGTGTGTATGTGTGTGTGTGTGTGTGTGTGTGTGTGTGTGTATTTGTGGGCATGCCTGTGAGTCTATTGTGTGCTTGCTTGAGTGTTATGGTGCTGAAACAGAGGCATGGTTGTGAGGCCGCCTGATTCTCCCTAGGGCCTGTCTCTCCATAGGCCTCAGCACCTCTCCATGAGGTTCTCTGAGCCCAGGGCTCAGAGGGGTGGGCACAGTGACTGCCCCTCATCCCAGACAGTGTCCTGGGGTCTAATATATGGGTTTCTTACTGCCTTGATTCCTCCCAGCCCCAATCTGCGCATGTCCTTCATTGTCTTCTCCCGAACTGCCGAAGTTATCATGCCGCTCACTGGAGACAGGTGGGTAACCTGAGGAGGGCTGGGGGATCAGGCCACAAGGAGCCACAGAGATCTGAGGGCTCCATTACCAACTCTGTGGGGCACTGCCAGTGCATGGGGTGGGCTGGTTGGGGAGACCTAGGGATCCACACTGGCCTCCAGCCTGATGCCTGGCCCCTCACAGCCCTGCTGCACTGGTACCCACAGACCCTGTCATCCAGAAGTCCCCATGTCTGCCTGGCCTTCTACAGATCTGAGTTCCACCATGGGCTGGCTGTGAAGACCTGTGGGATCCAGGGGTTTGGCGGAGTAGATGAGCATAAGCACTTTGACCTGTGTGGGGCCTACCGACTGTGACAGGTCACCCTCTGCCAAGGGCCAGTGGGGCACAGAGAGGGCTGGGGATGGAAGGGCTGGGGACTTTGTGCCAGGCAACATTGCCCTACAGTGGGCCTCAACAGGGAGATCTGAGAAACCAACATCAGGGGGAGGTGGCCCAAAGTACCCAGAGGTACTGAGACCCAGGAGGGTGTGGGGAGCTGTTGATCAGCTGTAGGGTTAGAGGTAGCATTGGATTCAATGCCCAAGAGGGAGGAGCATAGCGGAGAGATGGGGACTCAGCCTAGAGTTGTGGGGGATCCACTGTGCAGAGCGCTGGGGAGAAGCCAGGGTCAGACAGTGAAGGACAAGCCAGCACTCAGGGAAGGGAGGGAAAGGAGATTCTGGGGCCTGAGGACAGTGACACTGGATATCAAGATCTTTTGACCCAGGAAGAATAGAAAGGAGACCAGGCCAACATTGCCAGCACACACGGTGTGCACAGGCAAAGCTTTAAGGGCAAATGGAGTATAGGGTGGAGATGTTCAGCCTAATTGAGGCTTTGGCCAAAGGAAACCAGCAATTGATTGAGTGAGAACCAGGATGTGCTCAGAGAGCAAAGGAGAAGCAGGACTGTGTTGATTTGCAGGGGTTGGCTAAGTGTAGAGATTCCATGCTGGATGCTCAGTTCCAAACAATGTTTCTTCTTGTGACCAACATGGATCACTCTGTGGTCATGGTGAATGCCTCATAGAGGCTGTTGAATATTCTTGCACCTGGTACCATCATCCTGCACAAATCACCCTGGCCTCATATTTGGGGGGCTCACGGGTGGTCAACTCACTCAGGAACTGAGTTTCTAGCTGGTGTCATCATCTTGCCTAGTGTGATAGGGCCGAAGGACATGCAAAGTTGAAGCTTCTGAGACAGCCCAAGGATGGATTGGAAGCACCAGCTCCAAGGGACAACAGGCTGAGTTAACCCTGTATTATATTTTGGACAGAATATTTCTTAAATGACTAACGTGTCCATGTACAGAACTGGGTAGTGTCTGGTTCAAGGGCTATGTCAGCAAAAGGGACACAAAATACGAACACGCACTATGCCAAGTCTTTTGTTCCATTGTAGTTACCCATCAGATATCTGTGGGCTTGTATTACTTAGCTAGACACAATACCTGACACCCATGACTTCAAGGAGGAGAGGTTAAGTTGGCTCATGTTTTAAGGTGATTCAGTCTATAGTGGGCTGGCTCCATGGCAAGAACCTCATGACAGAAGGGTATGGTAGAGCCAAGCTGATTAGTTCATGGCAACCATGAGGCAGAGCTGGAAAACAGGGCCAGACAGGAAGCAGCCAGGAACCATATATAGTACCCAAGGTCACACCTCCGTGACCCACCCAGGCATACCCAGAAAAATGCTCCACCAGTCCCACGCAAATGAAGCTGACACTCAGCTTAACCATCATGATGCCCAAGTGAAGAATCAATGGTTCTCAGCTAAAATGTCTTTGAGCCCCTGTGAAGTAATCCAGGAAATTGTCAGACCCATGTGTCAGAGGTGCTTTCCACAGCAAACTTCACTGTGGGAAGCTAGTAACGTATTGCCCAATTGTATGATGTCCAAAATTAGGGATTATAGATTAACTAAGAGCAAGTGAAACTAGAGGGATTATTTAGCAGTTTTGTTAGGAACAATTTCCAATTCGTGCTTTTGTGGTTTTATCAGCATCTGTTGTGATGCTTTGTGGTTTCTGATGGATCTGTTGGAACTTACCATGCTACAAGGGTGTATCCTGTGCTCAGGAGCTAAAAGTGTGATCTCATTCTTCTATCCCAACACTATCCCCCATGGTGGTCCCTAACTGTCTGGGACAGGGCCACCACCAACCCCCACCCTGGGTCCAGCTAACAGAAAGAGCAGAGAGAGGTTGGCTCCATGGGCACAGAAGCCTGGTGCTGGGTGTAGGAGAGACTTGAATGGGCACAATGGTGGAGAAGTAGCCCACGGAAAGGAGCTGGCAGAATCCCTGAAGGGGAGTGGGGTTGCACTGAGCAGAGGGCAGGGGCGGGACTGGGCAGGACCTGGCTGGGCTCTCCCTGGGTAGGGGTGACTGTGTCTTCACCCCTCATGAACAGGGCCAGGCAGGGAAGGGTCCAATGCCCTCAGAGCTTGGCCCACAGCAGGGGCTCTCCCCTAGGAGAAAGCCACCCTGAGGGTCTTCTCTCTAGGTGGCCTTGCTGTGCAGGCTCAGCCCTGTCACAGCCAATCAGCCTGAGCCTGGCCCTCCTTCCTGTCCCAGTGCTGCCCCTGGAACCATTGCTGCCTGCCCCAGTCAGCCCTGTCTCTCTAACAGCCTCTGACAGCCTGGTCCCAGATGCCTGGACATAGGTCTCGACCACATCAGCAGCCTGCAGCCATGTCCCCACCTAGGACCTTCAGTGTCAAGAACACTGAGGTCCTTGGCCCATGCTGCTCATGAAGCAGCCTGGCTCCTTCCTTTGGTAGCTAAGGTGGAGTGGAGGCAGGAGAGGTCAGGGTCTGTGCAGTAGAGACAGAGCAGGGCAGGGTGAGCTGGTGACCTGTGTGACCCAGCCTTCCCTGCTGCAGAGCACAGCCTCATCCAGGGCATCCTTGGCTTCCAGTCAGCATCAGGCATGTGGGTCTCCCAGAGCTCTTGATCCCTCCTCACCAGGAAGACTTCACAGGGCCCATGGGGAATCTCTGAAAGCAGGGTGCCTGAGATGGGGTAAGCTCAGAGGAAATCAGGCATTCCTGTGAGACCTGCTGTCAGCCACCCCACTTGCCAAAGGGCTCAGCAGGCTGGGGACAAAAAAGAACACAGACCTCCGGGCAATGATCCAGTTCATCCAGTTCAGTATAGGGTACAGAGCCACCATTCATGTGGTCGATGGCAAGGCTGTGGGACAGCTCTGTGTGTGTTGTAACAACCAATCTCTTTCCTGATTTTTTTTCAGAGATGAAATCCACAGTGGTCTTAACAGACTCCAGCGGGTGGTGCCTGGAGGCTATACATACATGCAGGAAGGCTTCAAAGAGGTAGGGAAGTCTGGATCCCAGGGGCAAAGCCACCTAAGAGTATAGCACGTGACAACGTCTGTCCAGTGCTATCCTCAGCCCATGTCCATTCCCTTGCAGGCAAATGAGCAGATCATGAGATACCACTTTGGAGGTGAGTGGCATGCATCCCCGCAGGAAGTTGGGTGCACAGCTGGTGGCCCTCGGGGAGGTCTGTGTATAGACACTAGGCTCCTCCCAGCCCCAGATCTTGGAATTCTTTATTAGCTTCTCATTGCTGTGACAAAATAGCTGAGAAAATCAACTTAAGAGTAGAAAGGGTTTATTTTGGTTCACGATTTCCTAGGTTTTAGTCCGTGGTCAGCCGACTTCATTGTTTCTGGGCTGTGGTAAGGCAAACACCATGGTGGGCAGTGTGTGATGGAACAGTGCTGCTCATCTCAAAGTGAACAGGAGATGGAAAGAATAAGGAGCCAAGAACAACATTCACCCTTCAAGGGCCCACTTTATAACTTACTTCTGCCACTGAGGTCCCACCGCATTGTTTCCTGCAATTCCCAGTAGCACCAGCAGCTCTGAACCAAACCTTTAAGATTTTGGAGAACATCAAGTTCCAAAAATATAACACAGTTGTCCAAGACCAGCCCTGAAGCACCTGACCCAGCATGGGTCTCACAGGACAGGAGGACCTGCAGGTCCATGTAGGGCACTTCTTCACTCTGAGCTCCTGGTCCTTCACTGGGCTGTGTGTGCAGAAGGAGAAAGCCCAGATCCCAAGCAGCCTGAGGACCAGCCTGAAGAGCCCGCTCTGTCCACAGGGCCAGACCTTCCTGCCCTTCTCCAGCCCCATCTTCCATGGCCCATTTGCTCCTGGACTTGCCTCTCCCAACACTCAAATGGCTGTGTAGCCCAGGACCAATGTCCCTCTGCACTGTGAGCTGGCAGATCTGGGCAAGAGTGGTGGGCCCCGTGGGGACGGCTCTGGGGAAGAAGGGGGTCCTCTGTCCAAGACCCTGCCTGGGAGTCCTGAGCAGCTGGGCCACTGTCCCAAGCAGAAGCCTGCAGATTATACCCAGGACCTGCAGGTTCCAGCACCACCCCTCCCTGGGCTGCTCTGCAGGAGGTGCTGCTGCTTCCTGTTCTTGGGGATGGACTGGGGCTGGTGGACACCTGGCTGGGCTGTCCTCAGGTCAGAAAGTGTACAGCCTGGGGCACAGCAAGGGCTCAGGCCACTGGCAGGAAGGATCCTGAACCCCTCTTTCTTCATCTGTAAAATGGCCCTGGGTGAGGCCCCCTTCTCACTCTGGGGTCTCTGGTGGCAGGTGCTGGGGTCCGGGACCTGTCCCAGGAGCCCTAGGTATGAGAAACACCCACCTGCCTTCTGTGGGCAATGCTGGGGCCTGGCAGTCTGTGGTGATCCTGGGTCCCTTGCTGGTCACTCCTGAGCCTTGCCCACCCGGCCCCCTACCTCTTGTTTCCTACACAGGCAAGAAAGTTGCCAGCGTGATTATCGTGCTGACTGATGGGATGCTAATGAAAGACCCATTTGAGAAGACAAAGCAGGAGGTGAGCCCAGGTGTGGTCACCAGCACTCCGCCCCACACATTTTGTTGAGTTATCCTAAATGTCTCCTTTCTCATAGGCTGACAAATCCCGGAACATAGGGGCCGTCATTTATACCGTGGGTGTGCTGGACTACGACAAAGACCAGGTACTTCAGACCAGGTGACTGGGACTTCGGACAGGTCACCACAGAAGGACGATCAAGGGGCTTGAGTGCACAGGGACCCCCAGGGCAGGTAGAGAGCTTCCCTGTCCCCAAGCCTGGGATGACACAGGGGCCAGTCTGTCCCTGAACATCTGATTCGCCACCATCCCCAAGGCCTGAGAGCAAGACACTGTGTCCTTGTCCTGGGTCTGGGGTCCCCGTGCATCCTTGAGGCCCTGCCTGGGCATCAAGCTGATCCTTCCCCTCATAGATGGTGGCACTCGCAGACACACCAGGACACATGTTCGGGGTGGACAGTGGCTTTGAGGGTCTGCAGGACATCGTGGACTCGGTGAGCTGGGGGTGCTGGGTACAGGGTGAGGGGCATCACTCTGGGGCCCAAGTGTCACACTCCTGCCCTCCTTCTTCCCGTGTACCAGCTTGTCTCCAAGTCCTGTCTCGAGGTGACGTCGGTGGAGCCATCTTACTTTTGTGTGGGAGGTAAGGGCTGCGGGCTTGGGAGCTGGCAGATGGTCCAATTCATCATTGCAGGTATCTGCATGCATGAGAGAGAGAGAGAGAGAGAGAGAGAGAGAGAGAGAGAGAGCAGGTGATTGTAGTGCCATGTGTTTTATGTGGGTGCTTTGTGTGGTATGTTTGGATAGCCTGTGGCCTTTTTCTGGTGTGTGGTGTGTATGTGTATTGTTTTGAGTGGTTTATAAGCACAGGTCTGTGGCGTATGTATTGGAATGTGTATGTGAAATGTATGTAGGGGTGTGCATTGCTTGTGTGTCTAGGTGACATGTTCATGACAGTTGTCTGTGGTATGCCCGGGAAGCAGCGTGGGGGTGATGGGGGGTGTTGATGTGGAATTGGTGTGTGTTATGAGTGTGGAGAAAGTGTCAGGTGTATATAGCGTGTGTCCTATATGCTCTAGTTTGAGGTGTGTGGGAGGAGTCTGCACAATGTGGCATGTGTGTATCCACGGTATTGTGCTGTGGGATGTAGGAAAGGGGACGGGGTGGGGCCGTTGTGTTTGCATGTGATGTGTGTTGTGTGGGAGATAAGTATGTGTGATGTGTGTGGGATGCCCGTGGTGTTGGTGGCATGTGTGACGTGTGTGCAGCGGGTGTGACGTATGTGAAGTGTGTGGAGGAAGCGGTACCAATGGGTACGGTCAGAGGCTGTCCGGTGAGTGGACATTGTGGGTGTGATGTGTTTGCTGTGTGGGGACTGCAGGAGGGAGTGAAGTGAGTCCGTATGGAATGCTATGCTTTTGTGATGTGTGGTGTGTCTCTGGGTTGGTATGTGGTGCACAGTGTGTGTGGTATGTGCGTATCTGATTGGTGGTGTGTATGGTACTTTGTGAGAGCACCATGTTTGCAGAATGTGTATGTCACGTGAGGTGGCTGTGTATGAATCGTGTAGTGTTTTGTGGAGGGTGTGTTGTGTGACTATTTGTGAGTGGTTACGCAGAGTGGAATGTGTGTGTGGTATTGTGATGTGGGTGTTCGTGGTGTGCGGTGCTTCTGCAGGAAGTGTGATATCACAGTGTGTTTATGGTTTGTAGGTACATAGAGTGTGAGCACATGCATATATGTGCAGTGTGTATTATGTTTGGTGTGGGGGGTGTTTTTGTCAAAATATGTTGTGTGTGAATGCAGTGTGTGCATTGGAATGTGCAGTGCGTATGCAGAAAACATGGTGTGAGTATAACATTGTGTCTTATGCTGTGCGCAGTGTGGATGTGTTTGTGGTACGTGTGATGGGAGCATGAGGCAGGCGTGGCACCAATGAGCTAAATCCCTGTCAATTGGGAGCATGATATCTGGGGGCACAGTGCAGTGTGTGACTGCATAGTGGCTGTGTGGTGTGTTCTTGGAGCAGTGTGAGTGTGCCCAGAGCAGACAGTACACGGATTGGTGTGCGTGTCCCTGAGGGTGTGATGTGCATCTTGTGTGGGATGTTTAGTAAGTGGATGTTTATCCTCACTGTGTGCTGGGTGTGTACAGAATGAACATGTGTGTGTTTCGGGAGACAGTGTGGGTGTACGTGTGCGGTCACTGTTACCTTATTGCCGCACAAATCTTAATTGTGAACGTAGGAAAAGTTTGTAAAAATGCTGAAGGACACCCAGCAACGTTTAAACAGGCCGACACAGACACAGCAGCCAGGGTTCAGCCTGGAAGGGTCGGGCAAGTCTGGGGTTTGAAATATAAACAGTTTCCATGTCCCCAAATGGGGACAAATGCAAGATGTCACCTCACAAGGTGAACCAAAAGCATTGTACAAGTTTGGCATCCATCTCTGGGCAGAAGAGAGAAGGAAACCACACTTGACACAGCCACCCCAGACAGCCAGGCACACCTCAAGCCCATGGGGAAACAGCAGAGCCTGTCCCCAAGGCTGGAAGTGACAAGGATGCCCCAAGTCCAGCCCAGGTCCCTGCCTCAGTGCAGTGAGGACACTTTTAAGTGGTCCAGTGGGGAGGCCACCTCTCTTTGTCATGGGTGCTATATGGCTTCTGACACCGAGGTGGAGGGGACAGGGAGGACCAGGCTCCTCCTCCTACGGGTGACACTTTCACTGCTGCAGCTGCTGGGTTCTGGCCTCCATATCCCTTGTGGGAGGCCCCACTGCTGCAGACTATGGGCAGACAGAGCCATGTTCACATCTGAGCTCTGCCACCAGTGGTTCAGAAGAGCCAAACACTTGGGTCGCTTTGGCCTGTGATGGATAGGAATAGCACTGTGAGGATATTGGGGGATGGAGGGCCAGCAATGGCATAGCATCAGGATGTGGGTAGGAGCTGAGGACCTGGACCTTGGCTCTGCACCCCGAACCCCTCTGAGGTTGGGCACAGTGGGGGCTGCAGTGTTAGGTGGAGGAGGGTTGGGAACCCTCCCCGGGGTCTGTCCTGCCCAGCTCAGCTGTGCAGCCCACCTGGGCCTGCACGTCCCTGGTATGTCCCTGACACACAGGCCCTGACTTCTGGGCAGCCAAACAAACCCAGGTGAGGATGGGAGCTGTCACTGCTTCCTCCCAGCTGCAGAGCTGAGGTGACAGGTGCCTCCAGACACCAGCTCTGCTGCTGACCTGCTACACTGTTGGGCATCGTGTGCAGAGCTGCTACACAGAGTGACAGGGACTCGGGGTGGGGGTGGGGCTGAGACAGGAGCCTGGGCCCCAGGTGACACAGAATGGGCCAGGTACTCAGGCTGGCATGGAGAGCCAGTCCATGTGCAGGGGCTGAGGGAGAAGCTCCTGCAGCCTGGGGTCCCTGGGTGGCTGACCTGAGGCCACTCCAGGACCATGGAGAGAAAAGGAGACAGACTGGGCCAGGAGGCTGCTGTCAGGCCAAGGAGCTGGGAATTGCAACCAGAAGACCTACAGGAACCCAGCCCGGGTACTGCAGGGCCACCCAGCCACTCTCTCTTGTTCCCTGTGGCTTGGCCTGAGGGGAAGGGAGGACAAAGCTGGTGGAGTGAGGGGCTTGTGGGTCCACAGGGTGGTGGGCTGTGTTCCTTGTGGGTCAGGAGACTGGGGTGTGGAAGGTGTCAACCCCCATGAGTCCCCCTCCTGGTGGGGCAGAGGCCTCCAGTGACCCCATCCTGGCCCTGCTCTTGGGGTCTCCAGTGGGAACCATGGGAATTCGGGGTGGGAGGCCTCAGCTGAAGTCGTTCCTGGAAATCAGGTGTCTGTCATGGTGCTGTGGTTGGGGCTGGTGGGAGGAGGGCTCCCACGTGTGCAAGTTTAGTCTGCTGCATCTGGTCTGGGGGACACAGATGCTCAGACACAGCTGCCACCTTTTGAGGCTCTAAGAGGCCCCTGGGGGTGACCACCATGAACACAACAACCCACTCCCACACTCACCGTTTGAATGTATCCTTGCAGAGCCCTACACGGTGGTCGTCAGGGGACAAGGTTTTCATAATGCAAAAGGCCCAGACCAGGTTATTTGCAGATTCAAGTTCAGTGGCACCAACATCTATGGTAAGTGGTTCCTAGTTATCTCTAGGGCACATGTTTCCCTCAGAACATCCTTCCACCTCAGCTCTAGAAGCCACTGGCCAGGGCTGACCATTCCCAGGGGACACCGTGGGGTTAGGGGACAGGTGGAGCAGAGTACACTTCTTCATCTGCAAAGTGGGCACAGGTAAGGCCCAGCCCCCCGGAAGCAGGTTGGAGCAGGCCTCACCTTCAGCAGCTGGGTGTGGGCCTGGGCTGTCCTCAGAGCAGTATCTGTCCTAGCTGATCCTCCAGGCCCTTCCCTGAGAGCAGGACGGCAGGCAGGAGTCTGCTGCCGGGAGAGCACTGCAGCCCTGGGCTCTGAGCCTGGCCAGGTCCACAGAGAGCCTGTGGGGAAATCATCCACTCAAGCTGACAGAGGGGACACAGGGGACCTGGAAAGCTCCATGCCACAGGCAGAGAGTGTGGGCACCCCGAGCAGCAAGGACACAGCTCAGTGTGAGGAGGACTGGGCTCTGGACTGGGAATCTCCACTACTGCACGTTATGGAACAGTTCTCAGGCTCTGGAGAAAGAGCAGAAGGAGAAAGGGAGGGAGGGAGAGAGGAAAGAAGGAAGGAAGGAAGGAAGGAAGGAAGGAAGGAAGGAAGGAAGGAAGGAAGGAAGGAAGGAAGGAAGGAGGGGCAGAAACAGAAATCAAGAAACATCCCCATTCCCTCCACAGGCTGCCCCAGCTCAGTGATGGCCCCACCTGGTCCCTATGATCAAATCCCAGGGTCACCTTTGGTTGTCTTAGCCCACCCCACACCCAGTCTCCCAGATAGTACCACAACACTGCTGTCCACACGGTGCCCAGGATCTGTGCACCCAAAAAGATCCACCACACTAGAAGAAAACCAGTCCTCCACTTGGCATCCACCTCTGGGCTCCCATCCTTCACTCCTCAACAAGCCCCTCAGTTTCTACCACAGGGCCTTGGCATCTGCTACTCAGCCCAGCCCCTGCTCCCATGCATTGCCCCCAGCTGCTGCTGCTGTGGTTGGGTTCAGCTGAAATCCACTGCTCAGGCACAGCTGACTTGACAGACCTGGCCCTGTATGCAAAGGAAGCAAGACCTGCACAGGAAACTTGAAGCTCCCGGTGCCTGTTTTCCAGGGTGCCCACCCACGTCCTGCAGGTTCCTATTGCCTTCACCATGGAGCATTGCAATCCAGTTCCAGGCCCGGCACCATTTCAATGCCAATATTTCAGTATCTCCTGAAGAGCAACCGCATCTCTCAAAGGTGGTCTGGACCCACCAGCACTGCGCACCTGCCTTTTGTGTGGCTCCCTGTTCGGTGTTGCCCCTCTGTTCCCTTGGTCCCTGACGCTAGGCCTGGGAGCACAGAGCCCTCGCCGCCTCCCCCCGTCACACAACAGCACTGCTCAGAGCAGCACATCAGAGAAGGACCTGAGCAGGGGTCTTAGAAAGGAAGGAGGAGGGCAGGAGGTGCTGGACTGGGCTCACTGTTGACTCTGCTGGCCCAGGGCAGGCGGAGGGCTTGGGGGAAGGATGTGTGCACAGACATCTGGATGCCATTGTTTTTTAGATGTAAAACCCACCAGTGCGGAAGAAGCTTCCATAACATGTCCTGGACCAAAGATAGATCAGCCTGGACAGTAAGGACTGTGGTTCTGGGTCCTAGGGGTGGGGACAGTGTGGCCTCTGTTTGCCACCATCTCCTGTCCTGAATGTGGGTGTCCCTGTGCCTGGCAGCACAGGTTGGCCTGCTCTGGGCTGAGGTGCCCCTCACCTGCCCTCGTGGGTGACCTTCAAGGTGCCCAGGGCCACACAGAGGCCCAGGCACCACTGAGGGCAGTTGCAGGAGAAGCTGGGTTGCCTTTCCTCTGGGTCACCTTTCCCGGCTTGGATCACACAGCATGTGATAGCAGTGAGGACAGTGCTGCCATGCAGACCTCCCTGGTCCCTGAGCCACGGCCAGGATGGCACCATCCACCATGAGGGCTGCTCACGGCCTGAGCTGCACCCCTCTCAGTGACTTGTGGGAGAATTCAGGATCCACCTGCCCTCCCTCTAGGAGCTCCAGGTGGTGGGACTGTGGAGAGGGTGGCCCTAGGCTGCAGCGCTCCAGCTGGTACTCACCATCTGCTGCATCTCTGCACAGGAAGCTCTCTGTTGACCTCAGCCTCAACAATGGCGCCAGCTTCATCGGGAACAAATTCAACATCACCAGCACCGAGTGTGTAAACACCAAGGTAGGACTGCACCCTCAGACCGTGGAGAGCCCTGTAGTAGACACAACCCACCTGGGGAGGTCGAGACAGGGGGTCTCAGCAAGAGACAGCAGCTGAGCATGCAGACCCTGGGCCCCACTGGGTTCTCCCTCAGCCACTCAGGGAGGAGGAGGCTTCTGCCTGGAGACTATCCAAGGTCCCTAAGCACCCATCCCTGACTTGAGGGTGTCATAGGCACAGGAATCTGGGGTCCTGCTGGCTGGGGTAGGAGTTTGTGTCATGGAATCAGTGCCCCAGATGCAGTTGTGACCATAAAGCCACTCAGAACCCTCTGAGTCCTTGAGTGCCTGGGCAGGAGAGGGCTCCCACCCTGTGCACAGGGGCTCACTAAGGCTCAGGGAGGGCAAGGTGAGCCCAGGACTCAGACAACAAGACCTAAAGAGACCCCAATTTCCTGTCCTCCCTGGGGTCCACAGCAGTTTGGCCTCCCCTAAGTGGCACTTGTGGCTCTCTGTGTCCTCAAGACATGCCGTGCTGGCTCTAAAGTGAGCAGCAAGGCTGGGGTCACACAGAGGCTCCTGGGCCTCTTGTCTGGGAAGAGCCCTGAGCAGGGTAGAGGTGCAGCCTGCAGCCCGGGGACGAGGGCCAGCCCCTGCACCTCAGTGTCCCTCATGCCGGGCACTCTGTGGAGAAGGGAACAATGGGAAGCCAGCTGGGCACTCAAGAAGAAGCCCCCAGCCATACCCAGTGCCAGCCGTTGGTGCCATTGGCCTCGTCCTTTTCCACAGAGTCGCCCTATGGTACGACAAAGGTCCAAAATCAAGCCCTACCTGAAATTCCTGCCAGCCCTGCTGCTGATCCCACTGCTGCTGTGCTGTTGCTGGTGTCTGTGGAGGAGGAAGGTGAGCGTTTCCTGCTACCCAGCACTGCACACACCCTCCCACAAAGGCCATGGACATGTGGGAGCCTGTGATCCAGCTGTGGGCCATCTCCATCAACTATAAGGTCATCCTTATGATTCGGAGTCAGTCCTAGAGCTAGGCAGTCTCCCTTGGGCCTCCTTTCCAGAAAAGAGCCCCCCCAGGACCCCTCATCGTGATGTCCACAGCCCCTAGAAAGACGCATACCTAAGAGCCTATGTGGGGAAGGGGTCAGGGTCCCCTCGGAACAATGATGGCCCAGATACAGGTGGTGCTGACCAGGGAGGAATGGCTGGGGTGGCTGTGCCCTGAATCCCATGGGACCTGCATGTCTCCATGCTGTACACACCACCCCTGTCACTGAGCAGAGTGTGGGGCCTGGGCTGGGCTGGGCGGGAGAGGACAGAGCAGCCGCCACCCACCCCCAGGGAGCTCAGAGCAGCCTCTGCTCGGGCACGAGGGTGAAATGTCACCCACGCCTGGGCACAGCCAGGGCCTGGTCACAGCAGAGCCTGGGGTGCAGGGGATGCGGAGCACTGGGCAGCTGGGTGGAAGGAGGTGTCCAGAGCTGGAGGAAGGAGGACAGAGCAGGCCTGAAGGGACAGCCAGCAGCAACAGCAGGGACACCTGAAAGGGTCAGCAAGGAGGTCTGGGGATAGCCAGGTCCCCAGAGCAGGGAAGAGGCCAGCGTGTGCTGCGGTGCAGGGTGGGTGGGGGTGACAGTGCCTTGGCCCACTGTGGAGGGAGGGGCTTGGGTCAGGTGGGCTCCTGGGCACAGTGCCACAGACAGAGTGGCTGGTGCACACCCCAAGGCCATGTCCAACTTGCTGCTTCAGACCAGGGTCCTCTGGGCTGCAGGGTCCAGGCAGAGCCCACTCACCCCAACACTCCATGCTATGTCTGTCTTCCATTCCAGGACACCAAGGAGCCATCACCAACTCCGCCTGATCCTGAAATGGTAAGTGGAGGTCTGGGTCCTGACATCTTCACACACCCAGGACTGACCTGTCCTTCCAAAGGACAGATCGTGCAGCCTGTGCTAGGGTCTCCCACCTCTCTGGGCAAAGGAGATGGAACATGAGGTCAAGGAGAGGACAGGAGACCCAATGACATACCCAGACAGCACCCCCAGCTCTAGCACTTCCTTGGATCCTAGGCCCAAGTCTTCAGCACAAGGCATTTGGGGGACTCTCAGTGAAACCATAGCAATACCCACACTCTCAACCCATTGTGTCTGTCTCTTTATGTTCCAGCCCATGATACCACCCCTACACAGGCCAAAAATGGTGAGTTCTACTTTGCATCCTGATGCAGTCACAGATCCATGGAGGACAACAACCATCAAATGAAGCACCAGGAAGCCTGTGCCCAAATCCTCTACCCACCTGGGTGAAGGAGACAAGACAGGGTCAAGGAGAGAAGGACAGGAGACTCAGTGACATTCCTACACAACACCCCCAGGCCCTAGCACCTGCTGGTCCTGGCCTCTGTCACAGAGAATCTTGGGGACCTGCTTTAGCAGTTGCTGTCCTTAAGCCCTGATGGGCTATGTGACCCCAAAGGTGTCTCTGGGATCCAAGCACTCAGGGCTTTGGGAAAACAGCAGTGGCTCTGTGTCTACCCTGGCTGCACAGGCTCCTTTGGATTTGACTTTGTATCCATCCCCTGCAGGGCCATGGCTGGGCTGGGTGCAACCTTGGGAATGCAGGGCTGAGGGTGGAGGGCATCTGGGGGCAAACTCTGAGGCTGACCCCAGGGAACACAAGGATGGGGTAAAGGCAGCCTGGGGCTCAGCTGAGTGGCTGAGCCAGGGGACCTAGCTGCAGATGCCAGGAAACAGGATGCTCCCCAGGACCTGTGCTGGCTGCACTGTTGCCTGAGGAAGTGGCAACTGCAAGACCAGGGCCAGGGGGAGGGGACAGTCACCTGCCATTTCTCTGATCCCTGCACAGCCTCCTGCCAGGCTTCTGCCAGTCAAAGTGGTCTCAGGAGACCAAGGCTCTGCCCTGGGATTATGGGCAGTTGGGGCAGAACCATACTTGGGAAGCAGGGGAGTTTGGCTGTTCTTCCACAAAGGACTCTTCTGTCACTGTGGGTGCTGCTTACTGTCCTTTCTGTCACCCTGAAACCTTAGCTGACCCCACATGCAGGTGCCAGGGCAGGGACCCCATGTCCCTGCTCCCCAGGGACTTCAGACTGGTCTTTTTCACTTCTAGGAGCCAGAAGAGGAGAAATTGCCTCCTCCTCCACCACCGCTACGGCCTCCTCTTACTCAGCAGCCACCCCCACCTCCTCCTCCCATAAACACGAGCCCCACTGTGATTGTCTCCTGCTGTGGGTGTGGCGGGGGCAGAACCATAGAGGTAAGAAGGCTTGGGGTGGGGGCCATGACCTGGGTGGTCACTCTGGGGACAGGAGCCCTGGGCCCTGAGCCTGGGAGGGGAGGTGGCTCTGTGGCACTATTATTCTTGGTGCCAGTGGACAGCTTAGAGACCTGGCCAGGTCCATGTTATGCTGCTTCCTGAATACCACATTTGTGTTTCAGGGAAATCTGGATTCCTGCTGCAGCTATATCTGCCCAAGCTGCCACCAAATGCCACTGACGTGGTGTCAGCCCAAGGCGGTGAGTGGAGTGCTGGAAACCTCTCTGTGGGCAGGATGGCCACTGCTTTGTTTCTGGGACATGGCTCAGGGCTGAACCAGGCAAATGCTGAGGGGGGCCCCCAGGACATGGGACATGGAGCTCATAGCTTCCTAAATAGTGTCTGGATGTGGCATCCATACCAACCCTTTACTGGTAACCTGAGCCAGGAAGACTGGTGAGCCTGGCTGTCCAGCACAGACCTGTTTACCAGATGTGTCATTGCCTGGCAACCATGGGGAGAAGCCACGTCATTGGGATTATTTCCTTGGCATATCCTGACACTGAGGGCTGGTACTCACCACATCCTCCTGTGGGCTAGATGACAGACTAGGACTGTCCCTGTGTCCCCTTGTAACCCTCCCAGAAACTTGAGTAGCTGATTATTTTTTCCAAGTTCACTGGGGGATAGAAGCCCAAAGAGTTTGCATGACAAAACCTGGGAAGGAGAGATCAGAACCTGAATTTGACCCTGACTCCCTCTTCCCCACCAAGCAGGTCCCTGCTGGGTCAGACTCAGGACTTTCCTGCTTAGGCCCAAGTCCCTAAACCCCTGCTCTGGGGCCACATCCTGGCCCTCTGGACAGGAGGTTGTTTGGTGCCTTGCTCTCTGAACTGGGCACTTTGTCCGCAGCAGCTGGGCACATGGATGTCTAGAAGGTCTGTGCTGGCTGGACACCCTGGTGGTGCTCAGGAAAAGCAGCTAGGTACCCCAGGCCCACGGACTCCAGCAGGGCTGCTTTGTGTGGAGGCTCTGGCTTCTCCAGCAGGGGGCACTGCTTCCTCTCTGACCAGACTCAGGCCTGCCCTGCTTGTCTGGCCTGCATCCCCATTTTCCACCTTACTTCTCATGGGGCTCCCATTGTCACAGCCCAAGTAGCCCTTATACACCACCCCTGCATTGTGCACTGGACTGGAGTGACGTCACCCAGTGTCTGCTGGAGAGGGAGGACCAAGCAAGAGGCAGAGGTGTGCAAATGCCTTCCCCTAAGCAGAGAAAAGCAGAAGATCAGCTAGTGGATGCTGGAAAGACACTCAGAGGGGGAGATCAGGGATCTGAGGGCAGGCCTGACACAAGAGCGAGAGCTCTAACAGCTGCCTGGCTGTGCCAGGCCCCTCCACTGCTGTTTCGGCAGGTTCATCCTGCAATCTCACCTTGAGTGAGAGGCCCTGTGTCACTGGTGGCAATGTAGAGGCCCATAGGGCCACAGGAAGTTCCCCAAGGGCACCCAGATAGGGCCAGCATCCAGGGCTATGTGCAAACACCCAAGCTCTTTCCGGAACCTAGGGAGGCTAATACTATTTAGACTTGGGCTTCCTTCTGGCTCCTGTGCCACCATCTAATTTGACCTTGCCCCTCCCTAGTGTAGTCCTGACGGCCCTACTGAGTGTCTCATAAAGTTTGGCCAGGCACCCAAGTCCAAGATGTGTCTCCTGTGCACTATGCCTTTAAAGAAAGCTGTGCCTGGTAGCTACATGCAGAGTACACAGCACCCTGACACTGGCCTAGTCTGCTCAGCAAGCTCAGCTAGGTTCTCACTTCCTGGGATGTACCTGAGGCTACATCATCAGGCGTGGCCATCTGGCTGAGCACAAAAGGATCATATCTCATGGGAATCCACTGGTGGCCAGCTTAGATAACTTCACCAGCCCAGCAACTTGACCCCAGGTAGAAGGTGGAGGCATCAACCAGGTATCCTGCCCAGGACAGGTGTTGCTGGCCCTCTCTCCCTGCAGGTCACCTGTGTGCCCCACATCCCTCTTCCTGAAGCTCTGCTCAGAGCCTCACCCAACATTAGAGTCCCCCCCACCGCCGAAAGTATTGGTGGGGGCCTCTCCAAACTCCTCGTCCTCCTAGAGCCAGGTGGCAGCTTGCCTGGGCATGAAAACAAGCTCTCAGTTAATGAACCTGTTCACATGGACCTGGCTTAGAATTTATAGGAGCTTCTACCCCATGTCACCAGACAGGGTCCAAGGAGCTCCCCAAAGCTCAGATAAGAACCTAATTCACACGATCCATAGGACAGTTTTGCAGGTTCACTGACTCCCATTCCCCAAAAAATAGTTTTCAGGACTCCTCAGTGAAAGACACAGAAAAGGCTTATTAGATAGAAATGAAAAGGAACACACTCAAAGAAATAGAGATCAGGCCTGAGTAAGAAAGTGAGGCACATTATTTCTGGGAACTGGAAACTCTCTTGGAGCGGGGTGGAGATGTGCGGAAAACGTGGCCCATATCTCAGAAGAATGCTTGTTCATATTATAGGTATGAGCCCAGGTTTTGGTTTGATTTGTATTTGTTTTTTTACATGGATAAAGTAATGTAAGCATTCTTTGACACCTCTCAATCTTTTCCTTTATCTTAGGATCAGGTTTCTACTCCACTTTCTGTTAAGCCAGCTTATAGACTTTCAGTTTTCCTGAGTAATTTTTAGTGTGGTGGGTCTGGAAGGAAAGGGGCCTAAATTTAACTAAGGGAAGGCTGATCTGGACATCTTGGGTGACTTCGACAGGATCCCGGAAGTCACAGACTCCTTAAAAGTACAATTTTTAGCATTTTAAATATTCAGCACATCATAGCCCAAGAAATTCTAAAAACGGCTCAGTTCACCCAAAGCTCAACATTTCTATAGACAAAGCAGGCCATCTCGCTTAGTTGTAACTTTTGTTAAATGCATATGTCTCTCCACGGCCTTCAGTTTCCCCAAAGGAAGGTTTTTAATCATGCCCCTCCCAGACCATCTCCTCCAGACACAAAACGAAGGAGCAGGACTTGGCCCAATTCCTTAAGCTTGAGCCAAACTCTGCATCCCATCAAGGTTGGAGTTCTCTTCCTTCTTCACCTGCCCCATGGCAGCTCATTCAACTGGAGGTAAACAGGACTCCTAGACCTGGAAGGAAATCAGGATAACAATGTGAGCCTCACCCTTTGTCCCAGAATATGATGCCTACAGTAAACATACAACCTTTCTAAGGAACCCATCCTTATTCGGCCACCATGGGGCCTTTGGGGATCTAGATGACATTTCATCCTCACGGCAGCCCCCAAGGGATTGCAGCTGCCTTTTATACAGACTCTGTTCTGAGTGCTTCCCACAAATGGTGCTTTTAATCAAACCAACAAGTACTGTCAGAGGGAGGCTAGGGTCTGCAAAGTGGAGTAAATTGCCCACAGCCACACAGCCAGGAGACCACAGGGCCCACCTCCAACAGCCCAGCTCCAGGGTCCCCTTCTGTTATGCAAGGTGGTCACAACAGTGTATATCATGGCTGTGGAAACTGAGCCTCTGATGTTTAGTGGTGGCCTCAGAATGCAGGACTGTCACTGTGCAATGTCCCCAGCATCATACTGTCAGGTGAGATCTATGAAAATATCCAGAAAGCACATTTTTTTCTGCCTAAAATGTGCTACATGCAAAACATTTATGAATATTTGTATCTTGATTTTCATATTACTTGCTGACCTCCTAACTTTGAATGTATCTATTAATTTGCTGGGAAACCATTGTTCTGGGTAGCAATCAAAGCTTGGTGACAGATGGGCCGCAAAATACATTCAGGAGCAAGGCATTTCTGCATTCTTCTTCTCACCTTGACATGGAAGGAACTAGGCCAAGGGACACTGATAAAGCCAAGCAGTGGCTCTCCATTGCCCAGGAATCCTAACCTAACTGTCCTCCTGCAAACCAATGCTGTCTGAGAAAGTCTTAGGTCCCAGCTACAGGGTTGCCATGGCAACAGGCAGTCCTCTGACCCCACCTCCACACACACACACACACACACACACACACACACACACACTTCCATGAAATAATCAGGAAATACAGAAACAAAATTCCCAGCACTGGCGCAAAAGCCATCCATCAAATTCTTGACAATCGCTTTGGGAAATGTCTCTCCATTCTGAAGTGGCTGAATAATATAAGAAATAACTTTCCAGGCTCCGACCTCTGCATTTGGTAGACAGCCTAACAGGAAGGAGACCCTTCAACCTCCAGGAACATCTCCTCTCCCCTTGCAGTTACACAGACTCAGGGTCTCTGCAGCCCACTCCAGGTGTGCTCTGTGGTATGGAGTCCTCCGGCTCATCTCCATGCATGCACCTGCACCTCCAGCCCCCTCCCCTGCACTAGTGCTCTTGCGCAGTAAACATGATTGCACGTGTCCTAGAGTAAATAAGCAGACAGATCTGCAAGTACACTAAACAGATTCTATTCTGTTCCCAGAAACAACAGAAACCCAAATGCCTACACAACAGAAATATACCCACTTGTGATGAAAAGACATCACAAAGCCTTACTCATTGCTGTAAGAGAAGATCTGAAAATATAAATGCCTAAACCATAGTACCATGTTTTCCCAGAGCAATTCAGGAGCATCATACTACTTTAGTGAAAATGGTAATGAAATCTTTTAAGGAATTTGATCAAGTTCACCCAAAATAGTAAATAGTCTAAAACTTTGAAGAATTTTCAAAGGGAAAAATAGTGAAGGAAACTTTGCCTTAGCCTATATCATCAAGGCCTTAAGCTCCAACAATGAACATAATGGTCCCATAAAACAACAGCCCCAAAACCACCAAGCTCCATGTGGAATAAATAGGCTGTGCAATTACAGAGGTCACCCAAGGTGATCAAACTGGGTGTGTGGGAACACTCAGATAAACTTACATAAGTTTACTGCTTGATTAATGATTTTGTAAAATTTGACAAGCTATTTGGAAAAACTACAAACTGAAGCTGCATTTCATGACATAATAGAATAAATCCCAAAGAGTTTCAAATGTTAAATAGGCAAAAAAAAAGTGTCACTGCTAAGAAGTAGAATAAAATGCAAGTAAATTATGTCAGCATAGAGATCTAGGTAAGCACTAAAGCGGTGGGAGGAACTCACAAGGGAAAACGGTCATGGGCTTAACTGCCCCCGTTAATTCAGCAAAGACTATTTCACATCAGGCGCTGGGAACATACAGTGAGGCAGCAGAAGAAAGTCCTGCAGTCATGATGGACTTACATTTTCTTTAGAGAATGTCAGGGGATAACACATACTGTCCAGAGAATTGGTATATGTGGCTGGCCACAGAAGACTCTGACATTTACACTGAAAACAAAGTGGTAAGAGTAAGTCGTTGGAGTGAAATCAGAGGAATTCCTTCTAAGCAGAATAAACAACCAGGCAAATGCCCCTTGGCAGCTTGGACTTAGTGAGGCAAAAGGCAGGAATCAAACACTGTCTTTGTTAATCCAAAGGTCAAGCTGTTTACAACAAAGGTTATTGTCACACGTATGAGGAGAGGGGAGACAGACATGCAGCAGCCATGCAGGTGGGAGTTGTTGGCAAGAACAAGCTTTGCTGAAGCCGTGGTCTTGTGTCTGGGCTCACAGATAAAACCTCTCTGTTGACAAATGAATGGGCAAATGAATAAATAGCTGGATGAGCATGCCCAGCCAGACACGGTCCTGCAAATAGACTTACAGTCCTTTCTGACATACGGAGGCTTTTCATATGTGGTGTATGTGAAGGGACAGGAGTCTATTTTGGGGCCAACTGCAACAGACGAAGAGGAGCCCCTGTGGCAGTTTTAAGGGTGGCCACAGCGGAACTTAGCTCAGTCACATTGGGTTGCTTCACCTCTCAGAGCTCTACCTTTTCCTTCTCACAAAAGGGGACAAAAAGAAACTCCTGTATTTATAAGGAAAACTGGGCCACACCATGGGAGACATAAGGCACAGCCAAGTGTGCCAGTAAAGCTACATGATCAGGAGTTCCAATCAGGCCCATCAGGCAACAGGTGCCCTCTTCAGCATCAGGATGGGCAGGCGGTTTTGGCTCCTCAGCTGTTGGTTCATTGGGAGAGCAGCCACCTACCTGCCCGGGAATGTGAATCCCGGGAGAGTCCCAGAGTTCCTCTTCCCCTCTCTGGGCTACTGTTTCCCTTCTGCATGTCCCAGGGTGAAGCCCCACAGTAGGGGCCGCTGAGACAGACACAAGTCCATGTGATTGTGATTGGCACCTTTCCTGGTCCTCTTCCTACATGTGGGGGAGGGTGAGGACACAGAAGACAAACTCTACTCAGAACTGGGGCCGGGCAAGAAATGGGGCAGAAGGCAGATTCTCCTTCTGCAGCTCTTGCCCAGCCAAGCACTGTTGCCTGCCAATGGCAGGGTCTATTCAGGTTTTTTAACCCCACGGTTGTGGGTTAAGAGTGTATGTGTGGTATAATTTGCCAATCAGTATAAAGATGAACATGGGAAAGGACCATAATAAAGCCAGCTAGAGTCCCCTAAAAGGAAGTTTTTTGCATGCTTTGGAATTTTGAGGTCCCATTTTGTCTCTTGTGAGTCTTTCAAGAACATATGAAAATTCTTCAAGCCCCATCAATTAATTTTAATGGTTTGAGCATATTGTTTTGTTTTAATGAGTGCACCTAGCATGAACTTATTTGTTGTTTGTCAGATGACCTTTGCCCTAGTCTGTCCAGCCTACTGTCCAGTCAATTTTCCCTACTTGCATGGAAATTGTTGTGAGCCTGGCAGGTGTCATGATGGTAATCTTGCCTATCTGTGACCTATATATCCTTACAAAGGAGACTTTTTCTTTGATAATCAGAGTCCCTTGTTTCCTTGGACATCAAGAGCCTTGTTGGCTTTTAAGTGGCCATACCATTTGCAGCATTTAGATGTTCATTTTTGCTCTTGAAAAAAAGTTCAGAAACAAGCAGGGAGTAAAAGAGCCAAATTATTTATAGATACATGTAAAAAATGAAAACAAAATTGGATAATTCACAAAAATTTTAAACTAAGTGCACAGATAAAATGAAATATTTAATCAGGCATGGAAAACCAAGAGTGAATTCACCAGAAAAGACATGCAATCCTCACAGAATGTGAGTTCTTAGAAACCAGAAAGACACTTATCCTTATATCAGAAGAGACTCACAGAAAAGTTATAGTCCCAAGACTAATGTAAGGTTCTTCAATTAAGGTAGCCTTATGCAAAATAGATCCCAAATAAATTCAGTGGGGACTCCCAGGCAAAATGAAAGGGGCTCCACCTCAGAGAAGACATACTGGGGCAGAAAGGCAAGTGGGGAGGGCAGGGGTCAAGGTGGCCACTACACCTGGTCCCCAGGGTCACCGATGTCCTCTGCAGGTGATCTCTTCTCACATCCCATTTCTGACGCCAAATATGCCAAACTAAATCACCATCGGAGTCTCTCCAGTGGTGATGAGTGTGGCAGTGGGAACATGCACAGCAGGAGAAACTACAGGATTATTACAGGGCTGAGCAGAGGGGACCTTGAAAGGCAAAAAAGGACCGCACAGTCATTTTGAAGCAATGCGCCCTGGCCACAGGGACTCGTAAAAGGGTATCCCAGGATTCAATGGCAAAGGCAGCCTTGGCTGCAAAAGGGAAGAGCCTTCTGGCTCTGGGATCTTACTGGTTGCTATGAATCTGTGTATTTATAAACCCACTGATTTGAAAGCTTTGCGTTGTGGTCCTGGAAGAGACTCATAATTGTGCTTCTCCAGCAACCATGCATGACATCCAGTCCCTCATAAACTCTCAGCTTTATTTACTTTCATTTTCATTTTTATTAGTACTTGACACAAGTGACTCCATTTTGATTATGGTTGATTTGATTCACAGGCAGCATCAACAAGGAAGGCCCACACTGCCCATCCCAATGGGCCCAGATTTCATCCCCTTCAGCTGGCAACTGCAGCCTCTGGCCCAGCTCCCACTGGCATCTTGGTGACCTCCCTCTCTTCTCTTCCTTTCAGGGGAGGCACACCAACATCACCCTGATGAATCCCCACTGTGGGCAGGCCTCCTGTGTCCAGAAGATCTGCCTCCACCCCAACAGGAAGTGCTACCATATTGCACAGACACAAGGCACACCAAGGATCTGCCTTCAACCCAACAGGGAGTGTTTCTCCATCCCAGAGGTACCATGCACCCCACAGATGCACCTATCTCCCAACAAGGAGAACCTTCCTCTCAGTGTCTATCCACAGTGCCACCATGTCCCAGCCAGGTGCTCCAAATGTCCTTCCAGAATCCTGCCGTTGCTCTCGCCCCTTAACCGGAAATCTGCAAAATCCCCTAGTCATTCCCACCTGCACTGCCCAATCTCTAAAGACACAAAAACCTGTAATTAAGAGATCCTTGTTACTGAATTGAACATAATGTATTCTGTCTTGGTTTATTATCAAAAGGTGTTGGGTTTTGTTGCTGATCAGCAAAAGTCTGTCATATGGGAGGTGCTCTAGTCTGAAATATATCTATGCTACACCTGCCAGGACCCCGCACCATCCCAAGCCCAGGGGACTTCAACAGATCCCCTGCATTTCACCAGAGCAGGCAAATCTCCCTGGGCCCTTTGTCACCAGAGAAGAAAGTAGGGTCCTCACAGGGCTGTGCAGCACACAGTGTCCTACTGCCCAGCACACTCACTGCTGTCCTTGTGAACACCACGGGCATGGGAACTCAACAAGGGGCCCCGAGGACTTCAGGAGGGTTCTCAGGGGGCCAGGTCCAGGCTGCCAAGTTGTCCCTAATCCATCCTGAGAGTGAATTAAATGGCATCTCCCTGCAGGCCACCTTCAGCTTTGCAGGTGAATTTCTGTAAAGTTTGTACAAGCAGCAAAAGTTTGGACTTGACTTGGCATGGATTTAACAGGTTGGCCAGTGATGACCACACTGTCCCCACATTTGCAAAGTGACAGGGCTTGCTGGAGTGGCTGTGTCACACATGTAGGGATTATTCACAGGCTTTCTCTATGTCCCATAACTTTGACCTTTCATTCATTCCAGGAATTGCTATTTCTTTTTTATTGTCATTCATTTTATTGGTACATTTAATGTATGCAATCTAGTAACATTCATGGTTGGAAATTTGTACCTTTACACAATCAACCTTGGTTCTTATTTTTTTTCCCATTCCTCTGCCCTCCCTTCACCCTCTCCCTCCCTCCCTAGCTAGTTCTTGTTCCTTCCCCAAATTCTCTGTCCTGTGCTGTCCTGAGCTGCCATGAGCTGGGGCCCACACCTCAGTCTTGCCTGCTGCCAGGATGGGTCCTGGGTGTTGCTCATCCTTC